TGCAGGTGAAGTCCTGGTAGATGCAGGTGAAGCACTGGTGGTAGTTGCAGGTGAAGTCCTGGTAGATGCAGGTGAAATCCTGGTGGTAGATGCAGGTGAATTCCTGTTGGTAGATGCAGGTGAAGTCCTGGTAGATGCAGGTGAGTTTCTGTTGGTAGATGCAGGTGAAGTCCTTGTAGATGCAGGTGAAGTCCTGGTAGATGCAGGTGAAGTCCTGGTAGATGCAGGTGAAGTCCTGGTAGATGCAGGTGAAGTCCCGGTAGATGCAGGTGAAGTCCCGGTAGATGCAGGTGAAGTCTTCCTGTGCAGCTACCTCCTAAACCAGGGGAGAAGACAGAGCATTGCCCTCTGTGCATTGAGCTGTCACCTTTGCTGCTTAACTCACTCTGTCTGTATTCCCAACACCTAGATTTTCTTCCTAAATATTCTTCAAGTGATATAAAACTCAAAGGGCTTGTCCTCATTCACCCTCTTACAAACCAGCATTGGTTTTAATTTACACTGAGATGCATACGGCGGCCAATGTGCTCTCCACAGAGAGGCTGCAGGGACCACTTTGCTGTGCCCGCTGGAGACACTGAGTGTGGGCCACGGATCAGAACACCTAATTCATGAAATTCAAATGTCAGGTTCTTATTCTTTCTGACTGCTGACATCTGACCGTCCGAGGAGCATTCAGATATTAAGCTTCCTTTACCTGAGATGAATGCATTGTGTAGGCTGCAGCAGGAGTGAGCCTTTCTCCCAGCTCACCAGAAACATAAGCACAGGATAGTCAGTCCATTACAAAATCCAAACAACACCCTGTTGAACCAGGAAAAGAGCACTGGCTCCCCGATGGGTAAACTGAGTCCCAGATGCGATGGTAACTAAGGTCACAGCGTGAGCATGTAGAGGAAAACGGGGACAGGGCTTGCATCTGAGAGTGCCCTGATTACATTGATTATCAAATTATAACATCAAAGAGTGAAATTAAAGTTGGATGAGTGATCTCTGGACATGAGTATGACACTTCATGAGAAAAGAAGGATTCCTGGGGTGTTCACAGAAGGGGGAGACAGCAGTGGCGGAAGGATGCCCATTGGAGCGGCTGGAGCCTTTCAGCCTTCCAGTCTCAGGTGCTGGAGCAACGTCAGGATCTGCTCATCAGCAAAGCAGAGTCCACTCCCAGGCCTCTGCACGGCCCCCAGTACTGAAACTCGTCTGACCCCACTGTCCTCCTGTGCCTGGAAGAAAATGGTACTCAGCCCTGGCATCGCACGTTTCTCTTCATGACACTTTCTGAAGAAAAGCAAGAGGTCCTCTCTGTCATTCTGCAGGTAGGAAGACAGAGGCCCAGAAACACTGTGAGCTGCAGAAGACGCTCTTGTGTGACTGCTGGGCCTGGGGCTGGAGCCCCGGCCTTTCTCCACACACAGCCATGAAGGAAGGAGCATGCCCAGGTGGGGCTACCCAGCTTCTCCACGCTGGCTCTGCTGACACTGGGGCTGGATAATTCTCTGCTGCAGGAGGGGAGGGTGTCGCATGCATTCCAGAATGCAAAGCAGTGTCCCTGCACTCTCCGCCCACAAAATGGCAGCAGCACTCACTGTCAGCACCCATCCACGTCTCCAGATATTGACAAATGTCCTTAGGGTGGGGGGAAAACCACAAGGCTAAAGAATAGAGCAGAGGAGAAAGCAATTTATCATTACATGCATGCAAAGAAATTCACGGTCAATATCAACAAAAGAGACCCACCCCAAGTCCAAACTATTGTTTGCTAGGAAACTACTGAGGCTCCTCCAGAAATGTCCCCTGACATACAGGCTGTGCAATTTAGACCCAACAGAAACTGTTGTCAGGCTGGCCCCCCCTTCCCTTACTCTGTCACCTGGAAGCCACCACCCCAGCTTAAGCTCTTGTCCCACAGGGCCACGTGCCCTGGTCACCTGCTCTCCCACCGTGACCTTCCCGCCACTCTCAGTGTGAGCCCCTTGAAGCCAGAGGCACCCTTGGTCTCTTCACAGCCCCGGGATAAAGCGGCAATTGATCCTGCTTCTATGAGACATACAGCATGGAGCCAGTGCTTTCTCCCAACAGATTCCAAAGGACATCGGCTCTTGTGAACTCCTCAGTGGTGAATTAGACAAAACTTTGGTTGAGAAGAAAATGTGAGAGAAGGAGCTAAGCCCAGAGAGCCTTGAAAAGGAGGGAAGGCTGGGAAAGGGAAAGGAAGCTTTTTCGTTCCAGCACAGTTGGCAGCTCTTCAGGCCTGTGCTTCAGAAAGCCGGCCATGTGGCCTGCAGCAGGCAGGCTGTGGTGGTCTTGGTGCAGGGCGAGGCCTCCCTGGAGGGCCCAGGTTGCTTTCACAAACAGCTGACGGGTCAGCAGAGGCCACAGGGGTGCTGGGAGCAGGGCTGCTCCCTCTCCTCTTTCTCATCTGGACTGAGCTGGGGGTCCATGCCATGGAGAAATGGCCTCCAAGGCTTAAATTCCTTCATCTGCTGACACTTCCTCTGACTTTCAGAAAACTGACGGTGGGTGGGATCATCCTGCCCTCTTGGATAGTGGCGAGTAGACGGGTACAAATGATTACACGTGGGCTTCGTTGTCTCCTTTGCTTCTCCTGCTCAGGGACAGGTGAACACCACACAACTCCACCGCGGGAATCACGGTGTGGCTGCCACCGGGGCTGGGCAGCTCTCTGAAAGGCCAGGTCCCTGCAGGCTGGGAGAAGGTTCTGGAAGTTGCCTCCACCCTAGTTCTCTTTGGCCCTTACTCAAGGCCCTCTTAAGTCCCTATCCAGGAAACAGGATGTCAGGACACATTCATTTAGACTTGGTGGCACTTTCGTTGGATTCACTTCGCAGCTGCAAGGAAAGCTGGAGTGACCACCTCTTTCCAATGATTCATTTCAACAGTCACAGCAAGAGGACGAAACAGCTGAGGATCCCCTGGAATCTGGGGTCCTTTGGTTCCCTACAAGCTAAAGTTTCTTATAGGAGAGGACCCAAGGCTCGGATCACCCCGCAGCCACTCCAGGCTGACGCCAGATGTGGGTGACCGAAGGTCTGTGCTGCCCTCCGGGTCATGGGCTGCTGCCCCAAGTTTGCTCCCTCATTTTCCTTTAGCCCCCAGTGCCCACCAACTGTCACAGGGGAGCTTGTCCTCCAAGCTAGAGAGACAACAGCCTAGGAGACGTGAATTTGGCTTAACGTGGAACATTCCTTCTCTGACTGAGACACTTCTCAACTCGGGAGTGTGCTGATACCTGGATGAAGCAGCAAGGACATTCCTGAGACTGAGAAGGCCTTCACCCCTGGAAGCCACCCAGAGCCGCTGAGTGGCTGTCACATGCAGTGATGGGCCGGTGTGCCCCCGGCCTGCAGAATGAGGGGACATCTGGGAGACAGACAGTCACAGAAAAGACAACACAAAAAGACGCATTTTCGGAAGTCCCCCCGGGAACTCTGGAGGAAATGTTGGAAATACTGGGTTTTATATTGTGGTTTAGGTATTTGTCCCTGACAAGAGAAGAAGCTGGTATCTGGGAGGCTTAGAGGTCTAGAGTTTGGGTTCTTTCAGTATTCCCGGGTGAGAGGGATTTGGTTTGTCACTGACATGTGCTTTGTTGTCATAAACCACATTTTTCATCATGAGTTTATACATTCTTAAACTTCATCCTATGGTCAAAGATACATGCCTGTTAAACAGTCAAAAAAAACTTGGCATGGTAGAACCATGTGCCTGCCTCCAGATAAAATTATTTGAGCATGGTTATATGATTTTCCTGTCACTTCCATTTATGGGAAAGACCAATGATCTATCTGAATTAGGGAATGTCTTCTTTTCTATTTGCTAGGGTGCATTATTAAAAATAAACTCCTAAGACTTTAATATTTATTCATGTTCTGTTATGAGTAAACACATCTTGGACAGATCGCAAAAAATGAGACAGAAATAAATAGTTGTACTCATCCTGTAGTGACCAGAATTTATCATCAGATGTAAAAATCATGACATGCAATGTTGGTAGAGAGATAAAAGTCAGACCACATGCTGAAAGATATTAGTGGCAGATGTGATCGTCGGAGGGACGATGGCATTTCCTCTGAATGGGAGGATATGTTCTTCCAACCTGAATGTCAGCACGATCAGCAATGGAAGTGTGCTTTGTTCGCTAGCCTGCACATGCTCTCCATACTGGCAGCTACCGTCCACTGGTACTTTTAAAATCAAACACTATCCTGTACCCTGGACAGACACTGCCTCAGTGTCGCTTTTGAGCTGGACCATACAGTCGGCCGTGCATAAATACCCAGCTCCATGAACTAAAAATAAGCACCACGGACACATGCTTTGCCTTTTGACTTGATGCAACCCTACACCTACCCACACAAACACGCCCATACGTACACACACACCCCTGGCTTTCTCCGTGGCTTGCACGGGTGCTCAGCCCAAGGACGTGTTCTCTTAAAACCGACGCCCCTCACATAGCTCTCCGCCCCCCAGACACCCATTAATTGACTGCAAATGCAACTTTATTGCGAAATGACTGCAGCTTTATTAAGCATCTGGATTTACAGGCAATAACATAATCGATATAACATTAATATAGCACATAATTAAATAAGATTCCTACCAGGTCCTGCCTGGATCCTGAAATATAGAGAAGTTAATTGTTTTCATGGATGGCATTAACTAGTGAGATGTGAAGCCACACTTGGAGAAACACAGTCCCCAGTTGTTCTTTTTTTTCGGTCAAGCATTCCTTCGGACACAAATAGGAAATGATCCCCCAAACACACAGGCATGCAGTATCACAGGAACCCCCTCAAGACCCCCTCTCTGCCAGCCGGTGGGCGACTGTGTCGCTCAGTTGACTGATACTCTCATGAGGACCCGAGGGGTGAAAGGCAAGCAGCCAATTGTGTTTCATTTGTTTCCCCACCAGCAGAAACTGGGCAACCCACGGGAGGCTCTTGGAAAGTGACCACAGAACGCGCCTTGTCTGCTGGAAAATGGAGGAGCTCAGCTCTCCTCGAATGAAGTCAGCCAGCACTGTCCTTAAAGGGGTGTGCTCAGATTTCAAATTCAGAGAAATCCCTGCAGAATGTTCTTGCAAAGGGCCCAGAAAGCAAACTCCTGGGAGAAGGAAGGCTGTTCACAATCCTAGGAGAAGGAAGGCTGTTCACCGGGAGAGGGAAGGCTGTTCACCGGCAGAGGGAAGGCTGTTCACCGGGAGAGGGAAGGCTGTTCACCGGCAGAGGGAAGGCTGTTCAC